CGGCAACCGCAACCTACACAGGTGTGGCATCACACCTGGGGAAGACCCTGGCTTGGTGCAGGGAACCTGAGGTGCAAGCACAGCATGGACACTTGCACAGTGCTGGTGGATCAGTGCTGAGGATCAGAGAAGATCTTCAAAACTATTAAAATACTCTTCCATTTTCCAGCTAGATATTTCATTTGTGCACTTCAAACAAAACTCACTGCAACAGACTCAAATACAGAAGATGATGGGAGAATGCAGCCATCTTCTATAGAGCCACATGTTGACAGGATTTGTTTTAAACAATGGCCCTCTAATCACTAACTTTTTGGTTTTTCAATATAATTATTTTTGTTTTTACTTACTTATGTATGAATTTATTTTTGGCAGTATTATTGACTAAGCTGCCAAGGGCCTTGTACATGATAGGCAAGCACTATACCACTGAGCTACATGATTTTTGAAAACTTTGGGATAGAATCTAAGTTTATGAGGCTGGCTTGAATGTGCAATCCTTCTACCTTAGTCTCCCTAATCACTGAAGTACAGGCTGGAAACAGTTAATTTTAACTACTTATAATAATGTTCAATGGGGTTATTAACCCTGTTTTAAAATGGAATTACTATCTAAGTATTCTACAAATCTTCCAGGGGCAGCTTGACAACCATGACAGACACACTTTCATAACCAAATGTCCTCTGAGATCCTCCATGTGTAACATATAAAGAGGTCTTGAGACCCTGTGGCCTAGGAACCAAGGATGTGAGACTAAAGCATGCAGCAACTGGACCTCACTTATGACAAGACCCTCAGTGTGTCCAATGCCTCAGATTCCACAGTAAATGCCAGTGGCTGTATGAGGAGAGAGGGAAAATGTTCATAAAGGAAATCTAAGTTCCTCCCTCAAAAGGCAGCAGCCATCTGGCTGCCAGCACCTTTTATTCCAGTCAGTGGCACAGAGGACAGAAGGACCAAAGGTGGACAGATGCCCTCTGTGGACAGGTGCCCCACTAACCCCCCGCATAAAAGCATAGTGTGCCTTAGTGAGGCACATTTGGACCACCTGTGTCACAGTAAGAACGCCTCTGACACCTTCCCACATCCCTCTGCAGGCCCTTACCAGCCTACCCTTCACCTCATCACAGATGAGGAGCTGGAATCTGGAGCGGGTGGTGGCCCAGAGAGGGCCAGCCTGCTCCCAGGCCCCCCAGCTGGCCAATAGACCAGATAGGAGCCCTTGCCCTGGTGAGCTCTTCACACTAATCAAAACAGGAGTCTTGGGCCACAACCCAGGACTGTGAGCAATCACATCAAAAGTGACCAAAAAGGGCCATGAAACACAGAATGTAACAAACAGTGTCTGGTGTTCTAAGCTGGGCTGGGCATTACCAGCCTCAGTTCAGAGAGCATGCAAGTGGCACAAGCAAGGCGGGCCTAAGTAGGCAGGAGGCAGCTACACAAAGCCCTCAGCTGGCTGGGCACCCCCATGTACAGGGACGCACACCCTCTCTCGGAGACACATCCACCTCCAACACCCAGCAAGTCTACAGTGTTTAACGATGCTTTACACACAGAGAGCTTTTGTGATAAATGGTCTCTGGATGAGGATCCCAAGTGCTTCCTGGGCAGATTTGGGGTGGGAGGAACACTCTCTCTCCAAGGCAGTTCACACAAGGATCACAGTTCCATTCTGAGGGGAGTATGGTTTTATTCACTGTTCACATCTCCATCAGGGAAGACCAAAGAGGCCCTCACCAGTTACCCAAGATATCCTGCAACAGGATAGGGCACATCCAGACATGGACTATCATTAGGCCTAACAGGAAACAAGCTGTGAGGCCATAAAAAGACATGGAAGAGTCAGGCGTGGTGTCATCCCAGCGACTCAGAGGATGTCAAGTTCAAGGCCAGCCTGAGAGAATCAGTCAGAGCAAAGACCATTGTCAGCCAGAACCCACAGTGCTTGCAGTCTCCCGCCTGCAGACCCTCCCACTCTCAACTCCTAGCAGCCAAGGACACTGAAGGAGAGTGCCCAAGTACCAGAGGCCTCTGGGGAAGAGGGAACATGCCTGGGGAAACCAACACATTTTGACATGAACAAGTCTAATCTGGTGACATCTAGCATTACCTAGGCTCTATGTAGTTTAAGGGAACCTAGGCACCCAAAATGCCTCGGAAGCCTAAACTGCAATAAAAACTGAACATTCGAAAGAGCACAGTAATTTATGTTGGAAAAATTAGTTCATATGTTTCCTTATGATGAAGCACAGTGTACTTTATCACCTATTTTGAAATCCCAAGAGACACTTATGTTAAACAAGGAGGTAGGTGAGCATTAAGACCTAAAAATCCCTCACATGCTGCAATTGCAATCCAGTACTACAGTATGTCGTCTGCCCCCATGCCAGTGACCAGCACCTGATAGCTGGCTAGTGTGCTTGGGCATCAGGGTCAGAGGGAAACAGCCATTCCAGTGGAGCAGGAAGCACAGCTTCTCCTCCTGCTCTCAATCCCAGGTGGAGAGACAGAGTCCCCAGAACAGCACTGCTGCCCCTCCCCACCTCCAGCCTTGCCCAGGCAGGGACCACCAGTGTCATCAGAATGAACTACAAGCACAGGGGCCTTGGCTCTGCTGCCAGGGAGACTTGCTCTCTACAGTGAGCACCCAGCCTGTTCAAAGACTGAACCTTTCAGGACTCTGGGACCTAGCTACACACGCCCTTCTTCAGCATGTCTTACAAATTCAACATTTCAGCAAATCGAAAAGCTTCTTTCTGTGTGTGTGTGGGGGGGGAGAGCGCACTGAAGCAGCACCCAGGTGTTTGTACACGGAAAGCAGACTCTAACTGAGCTCCATCCCAGCCCCACGCTTCTATTTTAATTAGAGGTGTTCGATCAAAAACATACAAGATGATATCTAAGCTTCCTTCCACATAAACAACACTGCCTTTATTATCCTGACACATCACTTTAAACACAAAAATATTTTTGAAAATATTATTCTAAATGCCCACTTCACTTCAGCATAATTTTTGCACCCTTTGTGACTCAGGTCAGTGCTGGGCAACCTTCCGTCTAGAGTTCAGCCCACTGGCTCTCCCTGCTAAGATACACCCACCAAGGGCTACTTCAACCTCATCACTTCCCTGGAAACACTTGGGCCTTCTACCCTGCTAAGAGAGTGAGAACTGCAGCAGCAATCAGCCCAAACCAGAGTTCTATGCTCGAAGATATTAGCTCTAAGGATGCTAAAGCTCGTATATTCTCATAACAAATTAGCTAGGTGTTTCATGGTCAGCAAACTGAGACACAGAGGACTGAACTGGTATGCCCATGGTCAAAGAATAGCCCGGTCCTGCAGCTGGACCACCACAGTTGACCTGGGAATAGCTCAGGCAGGAACACTGCAGAGTCCACACAGACGACCCAGGTCACACCACATCAGACCCTTCAAGACCTACAACCTTACATCTCATCTAAGCCACTCACCCTCTACCTTAAGGGTCAAAATGAACACAGTGAATGCAACAAATGTTAGCAAGAACCCAAAGATTACTAGAGAATTTTTAAATTGGGGTCTTTTAAAAACCCTGCATTTTCATGATAGGAAAGATCATGGGCGGCAGGCCTCGAGAGATGTCCATCGAAGGCCTGACTGCTGTGCAGCGAGGCAGGACTCCCTCCTTGGCAGTATGTGCATCTTTACTCCATCCAAACACTCAGACCAAAAAGGGTTATAATCAACCCAACTAAATATTTACAGCTCACAAACCTGACAGATGGCACTGAGTGCCTTGAAGTCCCCATGTCACACCATCACACTCACTATCCACCCAGTGTAGACCAAGTAGGCCAATCCCGGATTCTGCCAGCAGTCCTGATACAGGATGAGTTTGACTCACTTAATACTTATTAATAATCAAAAATTCACACTAAGATTAACAGCATTTGCTTTTTCTCATTATTCGTTAAGATCTACTTTGCAGACACAGATGTGGCTCAGGTGAGGGTGACTGGGTTCCCAGACACCACCCTCCTCCTTTTCAGGCCAGGTAAAAAAGCTTCCCCCCTCACCGCGGACACCCCCACACTGAGGCAACTCCTCCCAACTGCTCTCTAGCATCAAGTATCACCCCAAACACTTCTGTCAAGAATCAAGAGACTTGCAGGGTCCATTTCAAAGTGGCCTGATCAACGATGACTGAGACAAAGATCAACAGCTTCAGAATAAGAAAATTCACTCAGGAGGAAATAAGAAAGGATTCCTTCTCATCTGCTAGCAGTAACCCCACAAAACCAATCATCTACTTTTGGACTACTAACCTGAAAACAAGGAGCAGATCCCTGGCAAGGCAATGAAAAGCCAAAGCAAGCCATGCATCTTCTTTCCAACCACCAACCCAGCCATTAGAGAAGGTAAGTAATCTGTCACCTCACCACAGCTGCCCAAGGAGGACCTTGTCCTGGAGTCAGACCCCAGGCAAAGTGGGCCTCCATGGAGACAGATGTGCCTGTCACTACCAGGTGTCAGGGTGAACTGGCCTACACCCTAACCTCCCTATGGCCTAACCTCCAACTGCTAGGAACACCCAGTGGCTACAGCGCTGTCCAGCAGCACAGGGCAGCCAGAACACAGCCTGTCTGCTCCCTCCCAAGCTATTCCTCACGTGAACAACTAATGCAACCTGCAAAGTACTACAGTAATACAGCAACAACTGGTTCTCCAGACTCTCTGGGGATGGCAAGATATGATAAAGGAAGTGTAGAAGAATTAGCTTCTTTTGCAAACAAGGCTACTGACTTGTTTGATCTTTCAGCCCCATTCTTCTGATTGTGACTCCAGGGGTGCTACTCACTGACCCCAGGAAACCTGGGACTGCCATTCTGAACCACCAGAACACTGAACAATACCCCATGGAGCCCAAGAAGGCTGCAGGGAGACTTTGTATTGTGCTCCTCCTTTTTACAAACCAAGGTCTACCACACCGATGACCAGGGAACACAGCAGACTCACCGATTCCATGGTGGAGAATCAGCGTTGCTGAGGACTGCAATCAACTCCAGCAGGGCTGTGTACTCTGAAACAAGAGCAAATCAGATCCCATCAACACTGAGGTCACTATGGCTCCTTTTACTGGTATGTCCCCACTTGGACCATCCACACTGGCCTGCAGAAGGCTGCTGAGATGGTGCTGGGCGGCTCTGGGTTGTGAAGGCCTCACACCCTGGCTGCCCCAGGGCACTGTGCACTCAGTGCTCTCTGAAAACAAGGCCCTGCTGACCAGGCCAAGGGAAGGATACCAGAGGCATGCAAAGGCTGGGCTCATAGTCCCTGCTGAGGAAAGGTGTCCCAGGCTTTCCACCCACAGGCTTGGATGGAGCTCAACAGACTTCCTGTCACATACCCCTCCATCCCCACTCCTCCGGACACCCACCTCCCACCTGAGCATCTCCACGCCCCACTGGGGTCCCTCCAGAGCCAATCCTGATGGAGGCCACCCCATTGCCCTCCACTCCTTAATCTGCCTAGGGATCCATTCTCAAAAAGTCAAGACCATAATTCAGTCCAAAGGTCCCCTGCATGATTCCAAGTCAGAAATGCAATTCTAACACCCTCCCACACCCCAGTACAAGAGAGAAAAAAGATGGTGAATCCTCGAGTGCCTGCATGTCACAGCTGGAAAGAAAGGTGAGGCCTCGGGTGGGAATACACCAGCAGGGGCCTCTCTGGTGGATAAGCACATCGCTGACAGAGGCCATTCAGTCAAAGCCTGCCACTCACAGGGCAAAATCTACCAGGGAGAGACCCATGTGGAATGCAGGACCCCTCTGCACTCCAGCCACCCAGGTATGAGTAACATCTTTATCATTAAGCTGTAGCTACAGACACAGATCAGCAGTGCACAATCTCAAACACTGTTAATGATAAAGAAAAAAATCAGGTCCCAGAGGACAATCCCAGGTAGTTATTCCTTGGGATAGTGGGAGGCTGGTCTAGAATCCCCAGCGAAATGAGAACCCAGGATGCTAGAGCCCTTACATGAAATCCAGTAGTACTCACACACACCCTTCCATGTGCTTGAAAGCATCTCTATGTCACTTGTGACACCTAATATAAAGTAAGTGCTATGTAATCAGCTGTTACACTGTTTGTTTAGGGACTAAGAGACCAAACAAAGGCCTACACGTGTTCAGCAGGGGGGCTGTTCTTTCCCTGAATATTTTCAATTTGACTGGTTGGTTTCACAGATGCTGAACCAAGATCCAGAAGGCTGGCTGTACTTTTATCTTTCAAAAGCTCGGGAAACAATATTTACATTAAGACTTCGTTGGAAGATTCAAAACAAGGTTCCTTCAGAGGTAGGAAGGAGCCCCAGAAGCCAAGGGAGCTGGCAGGAGCTGGCTGCACACCTGCACCCCCACAGCCCTGCAGCTCCAGGACACACCCACAGCTTCATCAGAGGCCAGAGGCTGCTGCCCTCAATCCCCCCCACTGACCACAAAGAGGGGCAACAGGAAGCAACAGCCACACAGGTTCCTGTGATTACTCTGCAAGTAATCACACCTTGTGATTTATTTCTACTATTTAAAACTAGAAATTTTAAAAGTACACAGACAATTAAACTTATTTTCATTCACCAAACGTTTCTGCATCAAAATGTACAAATTTAAAGGTAAACCCAAAGTCTTATATCAAAAAAGATCAAATGACACTATGTACATCTTGCATAATAGCTACACCAGATTTCAAAAGGGTTTCCAAAAAAATTTTTTAATATTTATTTTTTAGGTGTAGATGGATACAACACAATGCCTTTATCTTTATGTGGTGCTGAGGATCGAACCTGGGTCCCGCCCATGCTCTACCGCTGAGCCACAATCCTAGCCCAGGTTTCAAAATTTCCAAACCTAATAAATCAAGTAACTACTGTAGTCTTGGCATATGATGAACACACTAACATTGCCAATAAGAATGCTTTTTAAAGCTAATTTTAAATTTAAGTAGCATATTGTTTTAGGGGCTGGGGTTGTGGCTCAGTGGTAGAGTGCTTGCCTAGCATGTGTGGAGGCACTGGGTTCGATCCTCAGCACCACATATAAATATATAAATAAATTAATTAAATAAAGGGCCACTGGCAACTTTAGAAAAATCATGAAGAAAACTGATTAACCAAAAACTGCATAATCTGGGCTTTGGCACAGTGGCAGAGTGCTTGCCTAGCAGGTGTGAGGCACCAGGTTTGATCCTTAACACTATATACAAAAATAAACAAAGGCATGCAGTCCATCTACAACTACAAAAATATCTTTTTAAAAACCTGAATAATCTGCCCAGAAAGCTCTGAGAACTTCAAGAATAAAACCAACCAGCACAAACGGGGCAGCAGGAGGCCAGAAGGGAGACCTACAGGCTGGGTTCCCATCCAACTCAATTAGCAGGAAACCCACAGGCAAGAGGGGCTGGCCTCAACAGAATACCTACTCTGCAGGGCGTGCAGAGAGTTGTTCTGTCCTCACAACTGGTGCAGAATTTCTCAAAGCTGCTCTAACCTCAAGAGCTAGTAACACAGACATGAATAAGCAGCTTCCAATCACCACAACTCTGGTTTCCGTGAGAAGCAGCAAGTGTGTAGCTAAGCTTTTCAACCTTCCTGTGGAGACCAGTGACCAGTTTGCCAAATGCTACATGTGCAGGAGAATGTCACAGATTCCTGAAAAAAGCCAGGAGACATCTTTAAACTGAATGGTGGTTATCTCAAAGAGTGGAACAATCCAAGATTCTAAATCTAACTTTCTGTCTACCATATCTCATCAATTCCTTTAATGGATTTTGTACCAAGTCAGGGGTGGAGAAAAACTTTTAAAAATATGCCAAAAAAATATGTGACATTTGGGCTGGGTTTGTGGCTCCCATGGTAGAGCACTTGCGTAGCATGTGTGAGGCACTGGGTTTGATCCTCAGCAACCCCCATATAGATAGATAGATAGATAGTCCGTCAACATCTCTCTCTCTCTCTCTCTCTCTCTCTCTCTCTCTCTATATATATATATATATATATATATATTTTTTTTTTTTTAAAGTGACACTCAAGCTGACCGACCTTATTATGCTTCTGCATAACTGATGTTAGAAACCAGCTCTCCTCTCTCTGCTGCCTGAGGGAATGCTGCTTCAGTGCTCCAGGCCATGATGGTGAGCACAGGCCACCCACCCTGTGACATGGAATCACAGCCCTGGAAGAGGCCTGGCAGGCTCAATTGCTCTTCAGGGGTAAAGAAGTCCTGGAGAACTAACTAATGCTCTCACCACCTCTCCCTTTTCTCCCCCACTGCAGCCCCAAGACATAGATTTTTATCCATACAACTACTTTCACCACTATTCAGTTCATGTCCATGTTTACTAATCAAAGACCACTAACTGCTGACCACAATTTCTGCTCAGCATAAGATGAGCAGTATAGTTACCCACAGGAATTTGGTTTCAATCCACACCAAGAGACCCAGACATCTTCAGCTGGCCTGCACAGGGTCTTTCAGATCAACACATTGCTCTCTGGCTCTGAAAGCACTGGACAGTGATCAAGGCACCTGCCTCCCTCTTCTGCTTTTCCACTTTCCTCTACACAAGGAGCCCAAATTAGTGAAGACTGGTCCTACTGCCCAGCCTTGCCCCACAGGTCTCTAAACACTGACAGACACAACTGTTTTTATTTTTTCCCCCAGTGTTCCCCCCCACATTATTTTATTTTTGAGACAGGGTCTTGCCAATTTGCCCAGGCTGACTTCAAACTTGAGCTCCTTTTGCCTCAGCCTCCCAGGCAGCTGGGATGACAGGGCTGTGCCACCATGCTAGGCTCTGTCACAATCTCATGCAGCATCACAACACTTTTTAGTATGAATTGGGCTGGTGAGTTCACACCCAAACTTTCCGCCAGCTGTGGATGCTCAGTACAGGGAACACTGCCTGGCTGAACCAGCACAGACCATTAACCCTGAGTTCTGAGTGGGTTCCAGGTGGTGTCACATGCAAACAGCCTAAGCACCAAGTGTCTCCTAAGTCTCTTCCCCAAGTGCCCTGGAGTCAGCTCCCACAGGGTGTTAGGGACCGAAGCTACCTGTTGACACAGGCATCTTCAGCAAGCTCAGACACAGAGAGGGGTCAGACATGATGGACTGCCTGAGGCATGGGGTGACAGGCGCCAGCAAAGGAGGCCCTGACACTCACAGGATCAGAGCAGCAAAGTGCTCAGAGCCGACTCCAGGACACTTGGCCACTCAAGGCCAGTGCCCTGTGCAGGAGAGTGCGAAGCAGGTTGGCCCAGGGCCCCGTCAGGGAAGAGGTAAAGGAGTGAGCTACCCTCACACCATACTCTGCTTGGCAAATAAAAGGTGGGACAAAGGAAAAGGCAACAGATCTGGGTGCTCTCAGGCGAACTGAGCTCAATCTGGAGCTCAGAGGTGCCTCCACTGTAACGCTTCTCAATCTAGGGCCTCAGACATTTGGGGCCAGAGCCAAGAGGGCCCACATGATGCCATGACCATCAACAGTGTCTCCAGCCTATATCCCAGGTCCCCCATAGGGCAGAATCACCCAGCAGAGAGGGACTGCTGTAATCCTACCTTGGCAATCCTAAAAAGTTACATTTCCAGGATTCCAGGTATATGACGTTTCTGTGTGACACAATGACACTGCAGCATGGCATACACATGCGTTCTCACACATCTGAACCAGTCTGATGGACACTCTCCATATCAACATCTGGGCTGCGACATACCACAGTTTTGCAGAGTGCAGCCATCAGGAGAAATGAATCAGGACTCCCTGAATCACTACTCCCACAGCACAGTATGTGCTTATTGTATTTAAAAAAAAAAAAAAAAGATTTCAATGCTGGTGATCTCATATGGTTTGGTTTTACCCATAATTAACTGACTTTATTAGTCTCCACAGGAACCCCACCAGGTAGGTATCTACATATTCCCCCATCCCCTCCCCCCGCCCTGCAGAGAAGACTAAAGCCCTGGGAGTATGGGGAACCTGAGTAGCCCACACAAACCCAGCTGGCTCTGATCACGT